ACCTAGATCTCCGCGCCTACCACGACCTGCCACCACATCTCGCCACGGGATGTGCGCACGCAACCTATATCCGTTCCCTCGAAGAACTCACCGGATGTTTTGCCTTCTCGAAATGGCCACGACTCGTCATAGCTAAAAGGGATACGGAGCTAAAAATGCTCCTACAGCCCGTCTAGGCCTAGGAGTTCAAAGGTTGGCCCACCGATGGGTTCGACAACTGCTCCAGGCACCTTTAGAGTGAGGGATGGAAAGGGATGGACCTGCTAGTGGCCAGAACTCAGGCGCACGAGTGCCGCAGGCATCCCGGCCCACGTTCGAGTCTCGGCTAGATATGATCCAAGGTTTTTCCTCGAAGAAAGGCAGAGAGCCCTCGGGACCGGTCGAACGGACCCGAGAACTATAAGAATTGACCGCTGAGAATCTGGAGTTGGTCACCGAGCTGACCCAAGCAGGATCCCTACGAATGGGATGCCTGGGCCCCACTCAGACTAGCCCATTAACAGCTCACCGAGCACCATGATTCATCCATAGAGGAAAATTATGGCACGGCTTGGCCCCTAAATTTTTATTAGAAAAAACGCTTGAGGGAAGACAACTGCAAAGATGAGCCGATCCTCGATCGGACCCCTGCTACGGGCGGGGTCTCAAGGAAAGTTGGGCTCACACGAAGACCAAACACACGGTCGTAGAACAATAGACCCCCGTAGGGGTCAAAATCAGGAAAGACCTTTTTTGACCCACCAAATCTCACGGCTATACCCCCGAGGGGTCCGATCTCAACAAAAGGGAACCACCGTCCCCAGGTCATGTCGTGGGCGACAAAAGAAGCCCAAGGCCCTCAGAGTCCTCCCATTCGAAAAAGCCTCCGAAGGAGTATTCTACTCCTCCATAGGCTTGGGGGCTACTATCGAGGACCATACTAGGGTATCCAAAGAGGAGGAGCTAATGACCATCGACATTAATTCATCCAAGCCATCAAGAGCGCGACTTCGGCTCCAACCGGCCCCTAGGTGCACGAGCTCCACCTCGACCGACCTCTAGGGCGCCTCTAGGGGCAAGCTCTGCCTCGCCTGACCCCTGGGGCGGGCTCTGCCTCGCCCGACCCTATGGTCATAGGCTCCGCCTCGCCCAGCCTCTAGGGACGAGCTCCGCCTCGCCCCGCCTCTGGGGGCGAGCTCCGCCTTGCCCGACCCCAAGGTTGCAGGCTCCGCCTCGCCCGACCCAAGGGCATGGGCTCCACCTTGCCCAACCCGAGGGCGCGAGGCGGGCTCCGCCTCGCCTGACACCGAGGTCATGGGCTTCGCCTCGCCTGACCCCAAGGTGACGGGCTCCTCCTCGCCCGACCCCGAGGCCGTGGGCTCCGCCTCACCTGGCCTCTAGGTCGGGGGCTCTGTCTCGGCCAACCCCTCAGGCGAGGCTCTGATGGAAGCCCATACCACCGCCAACCACTATGTGCCAGAAAGTACAACCCAAGGTTAAACTTCTGGCATCGTGCAAGGAGCGGGTACATCTCAACATTACCTATGCCCGCGACATGTCACTCTAGGGAACTCACATCATCAACAGTGATGGACGTGTGGTCACTATGCTACCCACTCCCTGTACAGCCGCTGACCAGCACACTGGTTAGCCGCGTTGCCCGTCGAGACACAATGGGACGTCACGACCCGCTGACAACGCCAAGGCGTGGCATTAACGACGAATAGGCGCCCAGCGTGGAGCCGTCCTTATCACCATCTGTGGTCTACAGACGCTCGGTGTGGAGCCATCTCTGTCACCACCTATAGTGTTGGCAGAACCTGCGTAAAGGAGAAGAAAGGTCAGGCGGTCTGAGAGGCCGTCCTCTCCTTAGCTCTTCTCCCTTTTTCTCTCTATGTAACCTGCTCTTTGTCTTCATCTATAAAAGGGGAAGCAGGATGTCCCAAAAGAAGGGAGTTGACCACTCTACATGGCTGAGTAGCAACCGAGCTCTCAGCACCCATTCATTCCTTTCACCAAAGACTCGGGACTCATCCCTCTCTCGCCCGTTTGTAACACCTACTATGAATTTTCAGTGCTAGTAATAGGAGCAGCAGCAACAAACTGGACGTAGGGACATTCTGCCTAAACCAGTATAAACCTCATGTCCTCTTAGCACACCATCCGAGCCAGACGCGCAATATTAGAAATTTACTCGTTGGTGGTAACTCAAAACACCGACAGGGTTGTTGTAAGTGCATCTAGCCGCTTAGTGGGTTTTGGTGAATTGAATGGCAACACCATTAAAGGTCTAATAAGTTTACTAAGTGTTGAACAGGAAATTGAGTTTATTGCATACACCTATGAATTGTGAAATGAGAAGTGTATATAGGTTCAACAGCAAGGCAAACTTGATGATATTCCACATAATGTTCAAATCAAGGCTAAAGTTGAGTATTGTTGTATTGGAAGATCTTGGAAACAATCTAGTTCAAGCAAAAGACAACAATGCAAATGGAATCAATGAAATGGCTTCTATGTTGTGGGATATCATAGCATCATGTGAAACCAAGCATATTTGGCAAATGGTAAATGAGACATGAGTTGACGATTTTGGATTGGTCTCAATAATGGCTTACTTTGCATGAACACGAAGAGTTTGATAATGGATTAGCCTTGATCGAGGATTGAAGAATGAGTAAAGAATGCATAAGTGAACAAATACCAAGCACAGGTTAAATGACAAAGGACACAACTCATATTGGATATAAGTCAGTCTCTATGTTGGTTTACTTATATGGATAAAGATTTAGAAAATCACTTTGCATTGAATTGATCAAGCTAGAAGTATGAAGATAAATATTGAAGTGCGTGTTAGGAGTGTCAAGCCAAAATAAAAAGGATACAAGGAATCATGAATTGACTTGACCATATTGATGTTGATTCATATATGTCTCTATGTGAATCAAACTGAAGCTTGATTGATCTCAACATTCATATCTAGAAGATATTCAAGCAAGGATCATAATATTGAAGAAATGGTTTTTCAATGGATGCTTAATAGATGTGACTTGAGTATGGCTCGATAAGGTAAAGATAGCAAGGAAAGGGCTTCGAGGGACTAAGCGAAGGTGAAGGGCAAGCAATGGCTTGAGGACCGAGGTACCATAGCTAAGGTGAAGAAGAGAGTACTTGCATTGAGTCGAGGAACTAATCGAGCTATGAGGAGTCATATTGTGTTAAGGATCAAATCATTAGTAGAAGTGGCTTGAAGCCATGAGGTGAACTCATATGTATGAAAATGGTTCAAGTCACATGCTCAAGGTATGTTTGCTCAAAGAGAGGAGACAAAGTTGATTGCAACCCTTATGAAGTAATATTGAGAAGAAATGGCATATGAAGACATTGAAGACTCAAGTGGTTAAAATGATTATATTCTCTTGATCCTAAGCATAGGTATGTCATACTATCATGGGGGATGCAATACAAATCATAGACAAGTATCAAGTGCTCAAACAACTATAAGCATCCTTAGATTCACAGCCAAGACAGGCTACACTTCACTATTACCCTTACTGTCGTGCGGGGTGCGAGCTCCGACTCGCCCGACCCCTTGGGTGAGAGCTCTGACTTGCCCGACCCCTTGGTGTGAGCTCCGTCTCGCCTGACCCCTTGGGCGCGGGCTCCGGTTCGCCCGACCCTTTGGTCGCGGGCTCCGTCTCGCCCGACCCTAAGGTCGCGGGCTCCAGCTCGCCCGACCCTTTGATTGCGGGCTCCGTCTCGCCCGACCCTTTGGTCGCAGGCTCCGTCTCACTCGATCCTTTGGTCGTAGTCTCGTCTCGCCCGACCTCTTAGGTGCAGTGTCTGTTGTGGGCTGGGGGTATATACACCTTTTCCTTTCCTCCCCAACGGCTAGTTTCTAAAATGCAATAGCTAGTTTGTTTGGGGTGGGTATAAATACCCATCCCACGCCTCCTGGTGAAGGGGCTGATGCTCAGATCACTACCAACCCTTCTCCAGCCAGTTGTGAGCTCTCTCTAACCCATCTTTTTGTGAGAGTGAGTGATTAGTGATTGATTAAGTGTTAGAGAGCAATTAAGAGCAAGCCAATCCTTGAGCACTTGTTGGGATGCGTCAAGCATTCGTTGCGCATTTGTTACTCTTGGAGGTGAAGCCTCCTAGACGGCTAGGCATCGCCCGACGAGCTCCCGTGCTTGTGGTGAGCCGCGGGAAAGTTTGTATTACCCCATTGATCTAGTGGAAACCCCTCATCTCAAGTGTTCACTCTCTTGACTTGAGAACGAGGATAAGGGTTGCAAAGCCTAAGCCTTAGTGGCTTCCTCAACAACATGGACATAGGCAAGCCTTGGTGGCGAGCTGAACCACGGAATAAATCTTGTATCTTGGCTCCTTTATATTTTGAATTACATTATCCGTGTTCCACTCGATCTACTTGGTTGTGCGTGTTTATGAGTGGATGTACTTAATGGACTTGCCACTGGATATCTCCATGCACATCTCTGAGTTTGAGTTCTAGGCGTAGCTGCTGTTAAAGCTCTCTGCGCAGGTGCGGCAGTGCCGCACTCTCAGTGAGATAGTGCTGCAGTGCGGCAGTGCCGCGCGATGGAGCAGCAGTGCCACGCACTCTACTAATCCACTGTAAGTTTTATTTGTTATTAATTTTCAATAGCGTCTATTCACCCGTCCCCCTCCCCTCGAAATCTAGGCGACATCAATGTCCTTTCAGTTGTATCACGGGGTAGAGATGTAAGAGAGCGTAGAGGGGAGTAGACCAATTGCCTATTCTGCTCGATTGCTGCGCAGGCTCGAGAATGAGGACGTCTGGAGGCACACGTTCAGACAAACGTCCTAATCATAGCATTACCGTTAGGATGAGGACCACACAACACACCAACATATCATGCTGTCATCAGCAGAAACTACCATTTTATTTTATTTAAACGGCATCATGACCCTACTGACATAGGAGTAGTTTGCATGTTCTCACACAACGACGACACAAACAATCCCACACAAACCCATCACCGGATTACTGCTCCAGCAGCAGCGTCGCCATGGCCCATGGCCACTGATTTGACCTTGTCTTTCTTTGCAGAGAATTGGGCTTTGAGATGCTCCATGCTCGGTAGGCACTGCCTCACAGCTTCGTTGGACGTGTACTCCTCCGCCCAGCGGCGGAGACCAGGGAAGTCGTCTCCCCCCACCAAGCTCACGCCGGTCATCTCCTCAAACACAGCCGTCCAACGAGAAAGTGCACTGAGTGCTATGTCCAGGTAGCCGACGGAGTCGCCTCCAAAGAACCTCTTGCCGTCAAGCTGCGCCTCTAGGAGGGCCAGATTCTCCTTCGTCTCCCTGAGGAACCCCTCCCGCAGCTCGCCCTCCGTCAAGAACGACAGAACTAACGGCCTCCGGCACTGCTCAACAAGCAGGCATATATATGATATGTTCAGTAATTCAGAAAACGCATGTCATGCATGCATGTTGCAGGACGACGAGATGCAGTAACGATGAAGCATGCATGTACCTTGGTATCCATGAGTTGAGCCCAGAAACGAGCGGCAGCACGGTCCGCGGGGTCGCTGGGGAGGAGGGGCGGCCCGTCGAAGGCCTCGTCGACGTACTCCACGATGACGAGGGACTCGCAGACGGCGCGGTCGCCGTGCACGAGCACGGGCACCTTCTTGTGGACGGGGTTGTGCTGCAGCAGCAGCTCGCTCTTGTTTTCCATGTCTTCTTGGATGAGCTCGTAAGGAACTCCCTTGAGGCGCAGGGCGGCCTCAGCGCGGTGCACGAATGGGCTGCCGAAGAACGAGCCGATGAGCTTAACCGGTGGAGACATCTTAATTTGCTTGAGGTTGTGTGTGCTTGATGAAACACTGTCCCTATATATATATATATGGATGACGAAGAGTTGTCAGCATATATTGTCGAATCTTTTGTGCTTCTTCTCCAAGAAGGACTGAACTCAGATGTCTCCTTCAGTCATCAGTTTGTGCTTCTTCTCCAAGAACGACTGAATTCAGACTTTCTTTTTCACAAAAAAAAAGGATTACGTCCCAAGGCAAAACCATACGTCTTAGGTTGATTCAGTCAAACATTTGGGTTGATTCTTCTATAGATGATTTCCCAGTTATTAATTTTCAGAGTCAGACAACGCAAGGGGTCAAAGTATTGTTTGGGTAGCTGTTCTCTAGAACTGCAGACTGTACAGTTATGTATCTGTTCTAGAGCTGTAGATTGTTCAATGTTGTTTGGCTAGATGTTTAGAGGACCTTAGTGTGATTTCTAAAACATGATTCATGTTGTATTTCATGCCATGTTCCGTACTGAACAGTACAAGACCCAACTTGCATGAAGCTTAATGTCACTAAAGGACTGTACATCTTAGTCCTAATAATATCATTCCAAGTTCTTGTGTCGCAGGTATGAGCGTGTCCTCAAAATAATGATTTTGAGTGTTCTGAAGAAGACGCAGAGGCCAGTGTAGTTTCGGTTCACAATTCTTAATTTATCTCCACAGCTCAAAGTACATGAACTGTCTTTGAGTTAGTTAATTAATTAATCAATTAACAAATGTTAGATAATATCTATTGTCTACCCATCCTGCTGCTAGGATGTCATACTGCACATGGCTCAGGAATATGGATTTGAGTTTTTTTAATAAAGAAAATTTTGATTATATTTTCAAGCACATTACATCGAGTTGATACAAAGTCTTAAAAATTAATTCTTCTGACTTCTGCCTGACAAGAAGCACAAAAGCATCATAAGAGGGAACCACGCACACTCTAGTGACTGTCGATCCGAAGACTAAAACGTCACCCGTGTGCCTAGGAGAAAAAAACCTTGGTCACATGTGCCAAGCGCTGCGAAGCCACCGCAACCAAATCATGTTTATCAGGCTTCTAAAGGATAGCCCATGTACGAACCAATGAATAACGAAGAAGATACAAAGAAGATGAATATTTTTTATTTTAAAAAATTATATCATTTCTACATAACCAAATCGACCAAACAGGTAGTGACAGCTCCTGGTAGAACTAAAGGATTCAAATCTTTACTAATCCCTTCTATCCAATTGCCAAACATATTTGACACGTTACAAGGTTTAGCTACACCTAACACCTAAGAACACTTGAATTATTGACTAAATTGCCTAGGCGAATCGGCAATCAAAAGGAACAAGTGTCTAATTATCTCTTCTTTGTGATAAAATCAACATGTTTTTTTTACCTTGCGAGTTACTTTTCATTAATTTATTTTTTTAAGTACTACTCCTCTACGTATATACCATAAAAAAATATTGACCTTCAAAGGTGCTTTTATTTGCCAGAAGTGTTGATTTAAATTCAGAGACGGGCAAATCGTCCGCCTCTGACCAAAGGTTAATGTAAATCATCATTAAGGAGTCCTTCTCAGGGCTCAAACCTGCGACCTATTACTCAGCAATAACAACTCCTTACCACTGCATCACATACTTGTGAGTATGTATATAAGATTATGTTAACTTAAAACAAATATTTGAGACACTAAAAAAATCAAATAAAAAACTTATTACTGACGTGGTTTTTAAAATTAACACATTCCAGGTTACTGACGTGGAGGTTAAAATTAGACAAAACCTTGTACTGACGTGGTTTTTAAAACAACATCATGGCCCTCCTTACGTGGCAGTACACTACCATTATATCTTATTTAATTTAAACAACATCATGACCCTAATGACGTGGCAGGAGTTTACATGTTCTCACACAGTAAGTCAATGACACAACAATCCCCAGACCCCACACGAACGCCATCGCCGGATTACTGCTGCTGCTGCATCGCCGTGGCCACTGCTTTGACCTTGTCTTTCTTTGCAGTTGCAGAGAAGTGGCCTTTGAGATGCTCTATGCTCGGTAGGCACTGCATCACAGCTTCGTTGGAAGTGTACTCCTTCGCCCAGCGACGCAGAGCAGGAAAGTCGTCGTCTGCCAGCAAGCTCACGCCGGTCATCTCCTCGAACACAGCCATCCAATGAGACATTCCACTGAGTGCTATGTCCAGGTAGCCGACCGAGTCACCTCCAAAGAATCTCTTGCCGTCAAGCTGCGCCTCCAGGAGGGCCAGGTTCTCCTTCGTCTCCTTGAGGAACCCCTCCTGCTGCTCGCCCTCCGTCAAGAACGACAAAACTAGTGGCGTCCGGCACTGCTCAAGTTCAGTAAAAAAAAAGTCTTCTGTCAGATCAGAAAACGCATGCATATGTTGCAGCCTTGCAGGACGATGAAGCAACAAGCCAACAAGTACCTTGGTATCCATGAAATGTGCCCAGAAGCGTGCCATGGCGCGGTCGTAGGGGTCGGCCGGCAGCAGCGGCGGCCCGTCGAAGGCCTCGTCGACGTACTCCACGATGACGAGGGACTCGCAGACGGCGCGGTCGCCGTGCAGGAGCACGGGCACCTTCTTGTGGATGGGGTTGTTCGCCAGCATTAGCTCGCTCTTGTTCTCCAGGTCTTCTTGGATGAACTCGTAGGGCACGCCCTTGAGGCGCAGGGCGGCTGCAGCGCGGTGCACGAACGGGCTGGCGAAATGGCCGATGAGCTTAACAGGTGGAGACGACGACATCTTTGCTTTGCTTTCTAGTTCTAGACTTCTAGCTAGTTATGTACTTATGTTTTAGCTTGGCCATACAATGTCTCTATATATGGACGACAAATAAGAGATGTCAGCATATATTGTCGAATCTTTTGCTTCTTCTCCTCCAAGAATGACTTGTGTTGTCAGTGAGTGTGTATGCCTTTCTTCTCAGTCATTAGTCGTGTTTATCTGCCTGAGATCAGCAGCAGGTAGCTTAGGTTGCTTCGGGACGAAGTTAAGAACTCTTTTTTAAGAAAAAAGAGGATTATATATGTCCCAACGTAGTATCATACGTTTTAGTTTGATTCAGTCCAACATTTGGTTTTGACCAACCGGCACATAGTATTGACACTCTTATCCTTTATCAGTGTACAATAAGCCCCTCTCTTGCTTGATTGTGCGCTGTAATTTTAGTGGTTATGTAATAAGGTCTAAATTTAACGGAAGAGTCGATGCCACGATTTACTTATAACAGAATTTGGAAAATGAGAAAAATAGTAATTTGATTTACATTCTAATTCAAAAGCAAAAATATGTAAATAAGTAAAGAGTTCATATCAAGTGCAATAGATAAATAACTGACTTTCTATTAATAATAACAACAATAATAATAATGAAAATAATATGTGGGTTTTTAGTTGGATGATTGATAAGCAAAATATAAAAATCAAGAATCCGTGCAACCAATATAATTAATAATAGCTAGAATTGGGATACTATTAAGCAACAAAAAGTATTTTCTCTGGGAAGGCAAGAAATTTACTTCTGTTGGAAAACTTATTACCTTCACTAAGAGCATCCCGAGAGTTTTTCTAAAACTCACTCTCTTGTATGATCATTTGGGGATCCATTTGCATCAAAATCACTTTCTATATATTTTCACCCTCCAACAGCTTTTCTATATCTTGTGGGGGCCGTGCGTACTCTAAAGAGTCATTCTCATTTTCCATCTTTGGCTAGCGAAAAATCCAAAATAGATGATAACTATATTTGGATAACTAATTAAAAAATTATTAGAGGATTTTTCACCAGAATCTCTATTTCTAATGATTAAAAAGGATATAGAGAGTTTTTGGAGTTGCTAGTAACTCATGTCTGTCCAGTCCGCTTTGTTGAGATCGAAAAGATCATCTAGGGTGAGGTCTAGTAGGTTCTCTTTACTGTGAATGCGATATCGAGAGTAGAGAGATAGAGAGGAATAGAAGAAGAACGTGTCGAACCTGACACCGCAGAGGGAGATGGTCCAGAAGCCACCATCTCGTTCGTCGGTGAAGTCTGCGCACGGGCAGCGACGTTCGGGGAAGAGGTCAATGAAGTCGTCGACGTCGGTGGAGCGGGGCGGTGTGGCAGGTGGCTTCTCGTCACTAGCTGCGCCCCTCTCTGATCGGGATTAGGGTTTAGGTTTTGGTGGGGAGCTCGGCTTACGGTAAACCTCGTACTCAGAGCCGCCGGCCCACACCTCTATATATAGCGCAGTGTGACAGGGGCCCTCCAGCCATAGTGGGCTGGGCGTCCCCGATCAGGGCGCGGATCAAAGGACCAACTGGGTCATTGGGCCCAGTTTGGGATTAGAGATCAATCTAACAATCTCCCTCTTGATCTCCTACCATCTTTCAATTTCATATCATTTACTTTTATTCATTCCATTACAGATTAGCGCATAGAGCATGTTTCATCGTCACGATCAATTGCCGATAGATTTAACAACTACAACACACCACTCTGTTCTGAAATAGATACTTAACTTTGGGCCTTCTTTTGTCCAGGAATTATAGGCTTTCCCTTAAACCCATGACGGCTACATGTTCTCTGAACACGTTGGGTGGTAAGCATTTTATAAGCGGATCCGCGAGCATCTTTTTGGTACTTATATGCTCAAGACTTATGACATGATCCCGGACTTTATCTTTCACAACATAATACTTTATATCAATGTGTTTGGTAGCACCACTTGACTTATTGTTGTGAGCATACTGTACTGTCAGATTATTATCGCAGTATAACTTAAGTGGTCTATAGATGTTGTCAACCACCTTCAAACTGAGTATGAACTTCTTTAGCCAGTTCACCTGCCCCGTTGCCTCATAATACGCTACAAACTCAGCATACATTGTGGACGATGTAGTGACGGTTTGCTTTCAGCTTTTCTATGAAATAGTTCCCTCTGTGAGAGTGAATACATATCCAGACGTGGATTTTCTATCATCTCCTGCATAATCAGAATCTGAATATCCCACTATATGGAGTGAATCTGATCTTCTATACGTCATCATGAGGGTTTTCGTTCCTTGCAAATAACGCAAGACTTTCTTTACTAATTTCCAGTGTTCTGTTCCAGAATTGCTCTGGAATTTGCTAAGTAACCCGGTAACAAATATCAAGTCAGGGCGCGTGTATACTTGAGCATATTGCAAGATTCCGACAGCTGAAGTATATGGAACCGTTTTCATTTGATCAATCTCATACTGATTCCTGGGGCATTGAAAATCCCCATATCTGTCGTCGTTGACTATAGGAGCAGGTGAGGGACTACATTTGTGCATATTGAATTTATTTAAGATTTTTTCTATATATGCCTTTTGTGATAGTCCTAATACCCCTTTACTTCTATCTCGGTGAATCTCGATCCCTAGAACGAACGAAGCTTCACTAAGATCTTTCATATCAAATTTTGAGGACAAAAACTTTTTTGTCTCTAGTAGTAGACTGACATTACTACTAGCAAGTAAGATATAATCCACATACAGGACAAGAAAGATAAACTTCCCATTCTTAAACTTTGCATAGACACAATTATCCTCTATATTCTCTTTAAACCCAAAATTTCTTATTGTCTGATCAAACTTCAAGTACCACTGTCTTGAAGCTTGTTTTTATCCATAAATGGATTTCTTTAGGCAGAATCCCATTCGTTCTTTTCCTTTCATGACAAAGCATTTTGGTTGTGCCATGTAAATATTTTCCTCCAAGTCCCCGTTGAGAAATGTCGTCTTTACATCCATCTGATGTAATTCTAAATCGTAATGTGCCACTAATGCCATTATGATTCTGAAGGAATCCTTACATATGACTGGAGAAAAGGTCTCATTGTAATCAATGACTTATCTTTGTGTAAATCCTTTTACCACAAGTCGCGTTTTATATCTCTCTATATTCCCTTGAGAGTCAAGTTTTATTTTGTAGACCCATTTACAGCCTACTGTTTTGGCTCCTTTAGGAATTATTTCCAAGTCCCAAACTTTATTGGCATTCATAGATTTCATTTCATCTTCCATGGTCTCAAGCCACTTTGATGAATGATCACTTCTCATGGCTTCTTCAAATGAGGTGGGATCATCCTCCATTTAAAATTCCTCAGTGTTGTATACTTCATAGTCAGCAGGAATTGCTAATTTTCTAACTATTTGAGACCTTCTAGGGGCCTCCACATTTGGCACATCTTTTGTTTAAGGCTGTTGTTGCTCCCCCTCATGTGTGGCAATAGCTTCTACAGGATCCTGAAGAACAGGTTTCTCATCGTCATTCATTGTTGCCAAAGGCGGAATAACAACAGGTGCTGGCACCACAGTATCTTGCACTGTCGATGCAGCGACAGCAGGTAGTGCGAAAAATGGCTCATGAATCATCGGAGTGGGCGCATACACCCGCTTCTCTTCAAGGTCAATTTCTCGAGCTACCATGCTCCCCCTCATCATTTCATCCTCTAGGAAGACAGCGTGTCTCGTTTTCACAAACTTTGTATGTTGGAAGACAGCGTGTCTCGTTTTCACAAACTTTGTATGTCTGTCTGGACAGTAGAAATGAAAATCTTTTGACTTTTCTAGGTAGCCAATGAAATGGCAACTTACTATTTTGGGATCTAGCTTTCCAATGTTTTGGTTAAATACTTTAGCCTCAATAGGACTCCCCCCCACACGTAAGTAGTTTAGTGAGGGTACTCTTCCTGTCCACAACTCATACGGTGTTTTGGGCACCGACTTACTTGGTACTCTATTGAGAATATGAATGGCGGTTTTTAACGCCTCCATCCACAGGCTCAACGGTAAGGTGGAGTAACTTATCATACTGCGCACCATATCCATCAGGGTACGATTGCGTCTTTCAGCTACTCCATTCTGTTAAGGTTCGCCCGGTGTAGAATACTGGGCTACTATGCCATTCTCCTGTAAGAACCTCGCAAAAGGTCTAGGAACTTGGCCATATGGGGTATGCCGACCATAGTACTCCCCCCACGATCGGACCTGACTATCTTAATCTTTAAAATGTGTTGGTTTTCAACTTTTACCTTAAATATCTTAAATTTATCCAATGTTTCTGTTCTTTCTTTGATTGGATAAATGTAGCCATAATGGGAGTAATCATCTGTGAATGTTATGAATGAATCATAACCATCCACACTCTTTACAGGAAACGGACTACAGATGTCTGTGTGAATAATCTGTAAAATTCCTACGCTTCGTTTGTCATCTTTCTTAATTTTCTTTACATACTTTCCTTTTATGAATTCTCTACATTGTTCTAAATCTAAGAACTCTAATGGAGGAAGAATATCATTCTCAACTAGTCTTTCTATTCTCCCCCTTGAAATATGGCCTAAATGACAGTGCCATAATTTCGACGACGCATCGTGAGCTCTTTCGTTTTCTGTTTACATCCGCAGACGAGGATACATTCTCATTGTTGCACGCAACGTTCCCATCATCGCATACAACATTCACATCATCACGTAGTGATAACAAATAAAGCTCATTTTGTAAGATAGCAAGACCAACACATGCATTATTAAATGTTATCTTACATTTGCTATTTCCAAAATGGCAATCATATCCATCATTGTCCAAGCATGAAACACTAATCAAGTTTCTCTGTAAAGAGGGAACATAAAGTACATCTCTAAGTAAAAGTGTGAAGCCATCAGCAAGCTCTAGAGAAAGATCACCAATGGCTTCAACATCTGCTCGGACTCCATTTGCAACTTTAACGTGTCT